AAAAGAAGAAAACCTGTACATGATCATTAGAGATGAGAGATTTTAAGTGAGTATTTTGGATACGAGGTTGCTGGAGTCCATTGGTGTGAAAGACCCGAGGTTACAAAGGCAGGCTGCGTATAGGGTAAGGGACCTGGCAGCGCGCTGGCCAAAGCCCTCTGCCTCAGTGATCCCAGCTGGATGGTGGGAGAATGCCCGGGGCAGCATCTGTGTAGATCAGTAGACCTGGTGATCCCTTGAGTCATAAAAAGAGCTGGGCCAAGTGCTCGATGGCAAGCAGGCTGGATGAACGCTGCACACTCTCCTCTCTCAGAGACTCACCCGCCCCCTGGCACATTCACCACCGCGGAGTCTCAGAATGAAGAAGCCCACTCAAGCGAAACCACAGTTTCTCAATCTCAGGTGGGATAGAACCTCTTTCTTTGGTAGCAATCGAGACCATCTCACCGAGACAGCACTTCATAACGCACGCCACAGCAGACGCCACACCGGTGTTGTTCTCAGACGTAATTGCCAGCACCACGGTTAAACGCTTCAGTGATTCCAGACACTGGGCAGACCTGGGCTGCCCAGGTTGCTTCTCAGTCCCCTTATAGGAGCAGATCTGTGCGGGGTGCCGAGCCTGTGGACGCCCACACCACACTGCCACGTGACGTGGTCACCAGTGTCCTACTGCTCTCACACGCTCACCTGTCTTCCCATATGCCTTTCAATTCTTTTCACGATACAGGTGGGTTCAAATTAAAACCTGTGCACATTGAGAGTTTAAAGAGGCCCGTTCTTGTTTGGACTAATACGTACTCATGTACACATGCTCGTGCGGAACTGCTGGGTTCTCCTGACCAAGGGACCTATTACATCCCACCAGCCACTCCAGGCTAGCAGTTCATCTAAGAGAGTTTGTTTAAAATACCGCAAGTGTCACTTTTGCTAAAAGCGTGATTTCACCTTTTCCTTCCCAGATTTTCCTAATTAGCATCCCACCCCCGGAGCCCTGTGATTTGAAGAGCGTTGTGCTTTTCTTTCGGCCTCAAAGTTTGCTCGGCCTTCCCTTCCTCCCCAGTGTTCTGAGCCTCTCCCGAGATGCAGAACTGCAGATCCCTGGGTGGGAAGCCCTAGGAAACAGTTCTTTTTCTTCCCACAGGGCTCCCTGCAGCTGAGAACCTGGAGGGAGCCTCTGATGGATCCATGGGAGGTGAGAACAGAAGCAAGCATGCGGGACCTTTGTCTTTGAAATGCAAGTCAGAGATTAAGTGAGTTTGCAGAGCTCCAGTACTGAGCCAGCGCAGCTGTCACCTGTGGCCACTGTGTCATCAAGGGTTTGCAGCGGAAAGTGGTGAATGAGTGAAGGATTTATTCACTGTGTGATCAAGAAAGAAAGTAATTCTCTCTCTCTCTCTCTCTCTCTCTCTCTCTCTCTCACACACACACACACAGTGGCTGCCACATACATAGTAACTTTGGAAAATATTTCTTTTATCTATTTCGTGCTAGTTCTCTGACCTCCAAGGCGACTA